AAAAAAATTGAAGCGTCCCGGACGCCGACCGGTATGAATTTTCATTAACGCGAACTTTCGGCCCCGGCCGAAAATCAAATTGACTTCGACGAATTTCAAATGCAATTTCGAATCCTCCGCTGAAATCTACATGCGCCGCTCGCTTTGGCTCACAAAGTCACCGCCGTTAATCGCCGCATTAGTTACGAAAAAGTTCAGTTAGCTTAGGTGTCGTTCCGTGGAATCCCCTAAAATCTAATTCTCAACCTAGGATGATCGAATTGTGCACGTATATATAGATAAATGGAAAAAGATGGTTTCCTTTTTATTTTAATTCACGTGTTAGTTACGGGAAAATATTTAATATTTAATTCACTTATTTTTAAGTCACATATTAGTTTCGAGAAAATTGGGGGCCTATGGGGGTACTCGTGAAATCCCCTAGAATCTAGTTACTCCTAGGATGATCGAATTGTGCACGTATATAAATAAAGATGGTTTTCTTTTTATTCTAATTAACGTGTTAGTTACGGGAAAATATTTAATATTTAATTCACTTATTTTTAAGTCACATATTAGTTTCGAGAAAATTGGGGGCCTATGGGGGTACTCGTGAAATCCCCTAGAATCTAGTTACCCCTAGGATGATCGAATTGTACACGTATATAGATAAATAGAAAAAGATATTTTTTTATTTAATTCTACTCGCATATTAATTACAAGAAAATTAATGGCCTATTTCACTCGTGAAATTCTCTAGAATTTAGTTCTCCCTAGGGTGATTGAGATATACGCGTGTGTATAGACCGATAATTTTTCTAGAAATCCCCGAGCCGTTGTCGACGATGAACAACAATCAAGCTAGCCGAGCTTACGAGCGAATGAACCAATAGTAAATCGTAATGAGACCCGCAAATTGTTTTACGAGCAATGTTGGCCGGCGTGCGGCTGCGTTACCGACTCGACCTCGGCACTGTATTAATTACGAAATAACGCCGTTATCACGGCGAGCCCTGGCACGGTCTAATTAACAAATTTCCGCCTCTTACTCGTCGATCACCACCAGTTGAGAATCACTGCCCTCCCGCTAGAAATTCGTTAAACCGTCCTATGTATCTGGACTCGTTTTAATCGAGATTGAGGGCTCTCTCGAAATACATTTAATATATTTCCGGCAAATATGGAGATACATGTATTTAATTGGAATAATGGTGTCGTGCATATTATTATACCTAACCGTTTCTCTCTTTTGTAAATTTTAAACTGTTAGCTAGGATTAAGTTGAATTAGCTGACAGACGAGTCTGAATTCGATCCAATCGAGCTTGCCAAAGCTTCTGACGTTACTTAGGTCAATCGAATAGACCAGGAGAAGAAAAGGTGATGGCATTAAGGCTTTCACGAAGAATCGTAATTTTTGTAACGAGAATGAAGTGTGACGCAAAGTTCTATGCAAGACTCGACCTATCTAATACTATTACATTATACACGATTTCTCTTCAGTACCGGAACGAGGAATTGAATATTCTGTGTATCAGGTTAGGTTAGTTCCACTTATCTAGATGAAAGAACAGGGACAGTTCTTCGTTTGAATGATTTATTTGAAGAATTTAAGAACAGGTACTAACAGGGCATTTCTTTCTGTGTTACAGGTGATCCTGGTGCCTCACAGTCACACTGACCCAGGATGGCTGAAAACGTTCGAACAGTATTTCCACAGCTCCACCAGGAGCATATTGAACAACATGGTCTCGAAGCTTCAGCAGTGGCCCAATATGACCTTCATCTGGAGCGAAGTATCCTTCTTGTCACTGTGGTGGGAAAGGTGAGTTCAATTTCCTACAAAAAAAAAAAAACAGTAATCTGAAACAACTCCAAAAATCGAAAAATCATCGGAGACCTGTCGCAATGAAAACAGACTGATTCCCTCCAATGTAATCCTTCTCTTCTCCGTTCAATCGCCCCAGCCACAAAGGTGGCATCGGTTTTTATGCCCTATCATGTTAGGAGGCCGACGCGTACGTGGCGAAGATGACAGTCGTAAAAGGCGCCATTAGGGGCGGACGATGGCGGCCGAGATGGCCTGGCTCGAAAGAGCAGTTAAGGCGTCCCCTTGTAAGAGGATGGAATATCTCGTGGAATCCTCCGCTGCTTTCCTTTTCTTTTTTTTTTTTTTTTTTTTTTTAACGATCGAACGCGAAGCCGGGGATAAAGATGAGAAAGTATCGCGAGCATAAAACGGAATCGCGAAGGGGGAGGGAACAAGATATAAGGAAGGTCCCCACCTACCAAGTCTCTCATAGACGGACTTTCTTTATGGAATTGACGGAGGATCAAATTCTGGCCAGCATCGGGCTGGGACAAGGGATCATTTCCGATTCAGGGAAACGGAAATCGTCTCTCGATACTGATCCAGGAAAACGGAAATCACCTCTGTAAGAGGATCACGTGGAGAGCGTGGAATGGATTTCACCGTGGGACTAAGCCCAGGCAGGCCTTGTGCTCGCGTGTCGTCATCATCTTCCCAAGAATAAGGGGGAACAAGGCTGTCATAAAATGGCCCATTAGGACGAGGAACGGCGGTCTCGTGGTACTTCGGGGTTTAGGTAATATCCGGCGAATCGAAAACCACCTCCTTCCTCAACAGCTTGGAACGCCATGAGTGAGAACGAGCCTGCGCTACTACGTATGATGGAAACTGTTAGATCACTGTAGCAGCTCTCGTTTCTTCGTAGCCTCACGGCGAATTTCAGCTTAATGCGAAGTTCTGGAGCTACTTTCGTATAACTAGGAAGTTCGGGTCGGTGAAAAATGAAGGAAAAGACACAGAGGATGGTCGCTGCTCTGATGTGGGTCAGAATGTGTCTGGCTATTATTACATTACGACTTGGATTACCAGGCGAAAAATTATTTTCATCTTCTTTCCTCTCTCACACAATTGGGTTTAACTCCTGTATACTCTAAGATTGGAAGATTCTCCAATTTTTTTTTTTTTTTTTTTTTTTAATTTACAAAGACTATAATAGTCTTCGACCAAAGATAGTCAATTTTCCTCAGGAGCAGACGATCCGAAGGTTCAACGACTGGGATCTGAAATTGATACGTGTTCCTTTTCTCATCGACAATTTCGCGTGAGAATTCGTAATACTTTCTTTTCAAGTCACTTCTCCGAGTAAATTTCTCGGCTTCTCAGGACGAATCTATATACGAAGTGTTAACCGGAAGGCTAAAGACGTCTTCGTGGAAATTGACGACTTCCTCGGGATCTGGGTTATCGACGATGGGGAACGCTAGTGAAACGGAATTCGTTGGTGGTTTACGGGCCGACGTTGAACCGCGAGGAGGCGGCCATTGCGGCACCACGTAAATCCCTGGCCTACTGGAATGCACGCCGGCTATAAATATGATTTGTATCGTGCGGATTGTATCGTGCGAAATTACAAGTTGCGATGTTACACGTTACTCCGTCTCCTCTCCTTTCTTCGCTATCTGCTATGTGTAACTTGCAATTATTCGACCTGTATATCAGTCAACCTGATAGACGTTCGTATTTAATCTCCTTAGAGTTGGTGAGTTATACTTACTAGGAATGTCTTTGCAACCCTAGAATCCGAGGAACGCTTCGCCTTCGAAATTAATCTCCACATCTGATAGTGTAACCTCGAACATGATTGAGACTCACTTTACCTATAGACTATTCTGGAAACTGGCAACAATTTACAGTTTGGCCTATAATTCATCAGATGTGTAAATAAACTATTTAAAAAAGGACAAAATGTTCTATTCAAATGTTGCAAACAACAATTTAGTTGTAATTGAAAGGTATGGGATTCAAGATTGGAAACATATCTCTTTTCAAATTGTATCCATTCCTAATTGTAAATTCAAATTAAATATATATATATATATATATATGTATTCAGCAGTAGGAATAAAAATTCAATTTAATATTTAAAGAACAAAATCCGATCCTCGGGTTTGACTCCATATTTAAAATTGAATGTCTCTAAAAAAAAAAAAATATTCTGTACATGTCAGAGTCAGATTGCAATAAAGCATAGAACTGCTGACTGTACCAAGAATACAAAAGCAGACAGACGTGTTCTGAGAAGGTAAATTTTCAAGATCGAAAGTGGGATGGATCGTGAAACGAGAGAAAAGCTGCGGAAGTCTCCGGCAGGCAATGCGAGATTTGTGGCTATTTTACGGCAGACATAAACGTTCTTAACGAGAGAGCTAACCCATCGTAAAAGTATTAAGTCTGACTCGCATTGCTTCTACCGATCAATCCTAAATTCTGATGGTTCAACTGATGTTTTAACCATCAGTTAGAACTCACGTGCCATGTGAATATCATCCATCAATTTCGATCGATCGATCTTGACTAATTTTTGGATTAATAAGGTGGAAATCGAAACTATTCTAACGTCAAAATTTAAAAGGGAAAAAAAGAATAGACGAGTTGCCAGTTTGATTCGATTCCAAGTCAATAATGTAATAAATTAATAACAAAAATATCATTCAATTAATGTCTTCAATCTTCTTGTTCATTTTCAGTGCCCATCCCACCAAGAAGATGGTCGTAAAGAGGTTAGTGAAAGATGGAAGACTAGAGATGACCACAGGAGGTTGGGTGATGACCGACGAAGCAACGTCGCACATCTACGCCATGCTGGATCAGCTGATCGAGGGTAAGTACTGCCATCTTGAAGTTTCATCGCTTCTAAATAGACGTATCGTTCCTCAGTACCAACAGAGAACGACATAAAATGAGGCAAAATGGAAATTGGGCATAACGTAGAGTGCAATAACTGAAAGAATTTTCGTTCAATCTTAAAACTTCCTGAAAGAGATAAAGAAGATATTTGCAAAAAAAAAAGATCTGCGATTTGATGACGATAGTTGTAGGAAAAGAATGTAGTTTAATGTAGAATTTTATCGTACCCAAGAATTCCCCTGATTACAGTCGAGACTTCTACGGTACTAGCCGCGCCATAATAATTACCGTTTCCCCTAAATACGTCCTGGTGTTATCGCTGTCTCGAGGCCATTAAACGCGATCGTGATCCGAGTTATGACGTTCGGGAGTCATCTGCTACGCTCTGACAATCCTGGAATGCTTCTTCGAGGACTAATATATACAGGATCACCTTTGGGCCATTGTTGTCCTCTTGCTGGAATTGCATTTATATTGTGACGTGAATGATAAGTGGAAAGGAATGGACGAATTATAAATTTACCAAATTCGTTCATTAACACCGTCTCAAACGCGTTAAACTCGAATTTAGATGTATAAATAGATTCAGTTTTGAGATTCAGTTTTGAGCAAAAAGGTCAGATTAATTTCAGTTCAGGTATTTTAATAACAATTCGCGTCGAAATTAGTGGAACCTTAAAATTCTGAGGACCAAATTGCCAATCTGAAATTACTATACCAATTTATCTAACAAATTGAATAAATCTAAGTTCATTGGTTCTGGGAACCTAGTAGATCATATTAGTCACAATTACACAAAGTGATTGACAACGAGATAAAAATGATTTCGACATAAGTTGTTTATAGAAACTAGAAATAGGAACTAGTATTATAGATAATAATATCTAATGCGTAATATAATATTGATTAATGTTACAACTAAATGAAGAATATAGACTTGCCAAATGATCTCCAGATAGTTAATCTGAGAACCGAATCTCCTAAATTTACCGCGATGTTTAAACCGTAATTTCCATCCTCCATGGCGGGGATTCACTGCGCTTGATCGATTCGCGTCGGTCTGGAAATTCTTCGGTTCTGTTCCAACTGATAGCAATATAGTGGGATTTGTTGGTAACGTGTTGCGTTTTCAGCGTTGCATATTCACATGCGGAATATTTGCCGATATATCGGCGTGTAATGCCCACAAGCACGCATATTGACCGCGGCTGCTCTGGATATTTAACGTTCTAAGCGCGAACCGACCGCATACATATTCAGAACCCTAATAATTGGAAGTTAATATAGCCAGCTCGGTATTATTTCAATGGAACGTGTATGCACCGGCTGCCCTTTAAATTACGTTTCACGATACGATAAAAAAAAGAATCGTAGAAACTTACAACAAGGGAGGTTCCAGAAAATGGAACCAATTTTGAGATAACAACGATGCAAATGTAATTTAAGAAATTCTCTTTATTATCAGATTTAGTGTACAGAGTGATTCACGCAGCATTGTATCTTCCTTTCGATCGAATCGGATAAAATGATTTTAAAGAAACTTGATTCTTCAGAATTTTATGGTTAGATCATCAGTTGGTAGACAGACAACTCGATAGCAACGCCATCTATTTCATATTTGCTTCATTTTATGCCGCGGAATTATCTTCACAGGCATACCAACTGTAACGCAGGTTATTAATATTCCAGTTTGAACATCATTAGGTAAATTTATTAGATCCCATTTTGTCCCACCAAAGTCTTCTGCATATTGAATATTTATTTTGTTAGATAAATATTTACTCTGATGGTCCAAAATTAAGCACAATTTATATGAAAATTATTCTGACCGCAATTATTCTGACGAGGCAAATTCTCAATTTAATTTTACTTTAGTTTAATCCTCGTGAGATTTATTTGGTCCAGTAGGACCAATAAACCCAGATTTATTAGACAGTAACTATTAGGAATTTGCTTCTGCAACGTTACATTCCTCACTTGACACCAACGCCAGATATTTCATATTCGCTTGTTTCTATACCTCAGAATTGCCTCCGCAGGCATACCAACTGCAACATGGCTTCCCAAATTGGCTTCGTCTCTCTAGCCAGGAAATCAGAAAACGTTTCCCGA